TTCTCAGATTGAACGGTCCAGGAGGCAGCTCCATCCTGGAGATTAAGCATCCAGGACTCCATCTTAGACTTTCTTCCCAGAAGGAAACCCCTCTTGGGTGAGCACTCTTCAGCCACTTTCTCTATCCTCTGAACCTTTGTCTCCACCAGTGACCCCTGCTTATTGCTCAGATCCTATCCTATGCTGAAGCAATTGATAAGAGTGAGTTGAAGCTGTGTTTATATGACTAAAACAAAATAGTTCTGATTTTATGATTTTTAAATATAATATTCCATATTTATACATAGTATTACCACATTACTCTTGAACTGCGTGTCATAGAAAGTGTTGAGTGTAGATTTTTTTAAATTTAATATTTATTTATTTGAGAGAGAGAGAGAGAAAGAACATAAGCTAGGGAAGGGCAGAGAGAGAGAGAGGAGACAGAATCAGAGGCAGGCTCCAGGCTCTAAGCTGTCAGCACCAAGCTCGATGCAGGGCTCGAACCCACAAACTATGAGATCATGACCTGAGCTGAAGTTGGATTCTTGACCGACTGAGCCACCCAGGTGCCCCTAGATTTTTGTAAAAGGGGAAAGTGGCTAGGGTCTCCTACAGAGTGAAGATTGTTTACCTTTCTTCCTTACCTTTCTTTACCATATCACAGGCTTGGGAAGATTAAATGAAATAATAAAGGTATGACACAGCACAAGGAAGTCATATATTTGCAATTTTATTGGTGGTATTTCTAGCAGGGTGATCGGCACACTGCAGGGGCTATCATTATGGTTAGTATATTTATCTGTTTTCCATATCCGCACACTCCTCACCTAGTCTATTCTCTTAAATGATCCCTGGTTTTATCCATTGGTGTTGTTTGTATCAATGATCATTTGCAAGTTTCTGCAAATAATGTGAATGGAGAACCAGAAGACAAAATTCAATTGGGGAGTGACAGACACAGATATATATTCAAGCTGCTATACACAAGTTGTTCCTAGGTGGATAGTCCTTCTTGGGTCTTACCCTCCTATAGAGTCCTACCCTTTCTTGGGTTACTCAGCCCCTATAACCTCTCCCCATTCTCACTCTTCTGTGCCCAATGAAATGACCATCCAGCCTGAAGATAGGAATTTTCTGTCCCCACTTCAAAGTCCACCTGAAAGGTGCTTTCAGCCATTGCTCTGAAATGAAAGAGGAGGAATCATTCATACATTTATTCATTTATCCAACAAGTATTTTACAGGTGCAAGGGTAGGCACTAGGGATACGACCATAACAAGATACATCCCTGCCCTCTGGGTGCTTACAGGCTGGAGGGGGAAAGCTTCCAATCAAGGAAGGAGTAACTCCTAGGTATCTGGATTGGACAGTTGTGTTAATGCTCACGCCACCCACCGCTGAGGCTGGAAACGCAGCAGGACATGCTAGGTGCAAGACACCTGGGGGAGTACAAGGGTACATATTCAGAAGAGAGCTGAGTTTATGAGCCAAGAGCTCAGGCAAGAGATATAAAACCAGCAGTTGAAGATGTAGGTACTGATTGCCTAGGAAGTAGGCCAAGAACAGAACCCTGGAGAATTCTGTTGTATAAAGCATGGCCTTACATTTCTACGTCCTCCCTTTGAAAGACATGCTGACAAAACATAGAAATATTATTGGGTAAATATCTCTAGAAAAAGAACAGGAAGGGGGCATCCAGCTGGCTTAGTTGGTAGGGCACACGCTCCTGACCTCAGAGTCATAAGTTCCAGCCCCATAGAGTGTAGAGAAAAGAGAAGAAAAAGTACAGTAAGTTCAACCAGCAAGAAAAATGTATTTAAATGATAGATGGTCTCTGGCTTCTAATGGTTTAATGTAGGATCAACCATCAACATTTTGATGATGAAAGGTGATTCACATTAAGTAGAAACCATACGTTGAGTTTGGGATTTTGATCTTTTCCTCAGGCTAGCAATATTTGGTATGACACTCTCTTGTGATGCAGGGCAGGGAGCCGTGGCTCCCAGTCAGCCATGCAATCGTGAGAGTAAATAGCTGATGCTTAAAACCATTCTGTACCCACACAACCATTCTGTTTCTCACTATTTTTTTTAATTCAATAAGTTATATAAGCTATTCCACACTTTCTCACAAAATAGGCTGTGTGTTTGATGATTTTGCCCAACCGTAGGCTAATGTCAGAGTTCTGAGCATGTTTAAGGTAGGCTAGGTTGAAATATCTATAACATTTGATAAGTTAGGTATATTAAATGCATTTTTGACTTACAGTATTTCCAATTCATGATGTGTTTATTGGGACATAACCCCATTGTGAGTTGAGAAAGATCTGTAGTTGATTCCATCCCTCTTCATAGGAATAGATTGAGGAAAGGCTACAGCAGATGGACCTGCACATAAATAAAGATAATTTATAACAACATTGTAAGAGCAACTTCATCCTATTGGGATTCTTATGAAAGCTTCATCACCAAGGCATAATCAATTTTTAAGTCCATTTCTAGCTCCTCTCCCCTCTCTGGAGGATGATCAGCGAGTGGGGCTGAAGATTCTAAGCTTCTAGTCATGGCTGGGCCTTTCTGGTGACCAGTCCCCATCCGGGAGCCCATCCACAGTCCCCTCAGTAGAACAAAAGATGCTTCTAGTGCTCTTATCACTTGGGAAATTACAAGGGTTTGAGGAGTTCTGTGTCAGGAACATGGGGCAGAGACCAAAATGTATTTTTCTATTTTCTTATAACCAATGTTGGTATAAAACAAATTCCTGATTATTTCAACCAGATCATCAGATGCTGTAGATCAAGGTAGAAGACTGTCAAATTTATACCCTTTATGTAACTTTCTCATGTTTTCTCCTTAAATCTTATCTTTTCTCTTATAATGATGGAAATTAAAGCCTTAAAATGAAGAGGGTCTGCAAACTTGTCTTCAGGGACAGAAAGAAAGGGTGAATGTAAGGAGACCATCTTTCAAACCCAACAGTCTGGATAGGTGATGACAATTATGTATGGGGGAGTGAATTCCTTCAACTTGCCTTGGCTAAAAAGGAGAACTTGAGAGGAGCCTGCCTCAGCACGTGAACCTCCCCTCCCACCCATCCCCACCTCACTCCACCCCCCACCCCACCCCCACCCCCGCCCCGGGACTTAGGAGAAAGAGGATCCTCAAATGCAGTGATAAATAAGCTTTGCAGAGTAATAGGATTAAGTTTGAAACTGTTACAGGTGAGGTGTGACTAGCCCATTCTTGTATCCCGGAGAGCCAGCTCTTTTCTTCATTCAACAGGTATTATTTTTATTTTCATTGTCACTAAAGTAGCACAAAGGAGCACCTCTATTTGTTACCTTACCTTACATTGATCTTAGAACAACGCTGAAAATGCTTATTCTCCATTGCTCTTAAAACAACACTGAAAGCTTCAAAAGAGGAAAGATTATTTACTCCCTTTTTCTTCCCCCTTTTCCTCTCCAAGTCTAACAACTTACTACATTTAATTCCAGTTTTAGCTACCTTTTTCCAGAAAAATCATCAACAAAGATGTATAGATCTCCTCCAGGCAGGCAGCCGTAGATTCATTGAAGTATTAGATTCCAGCTTTGCTCTCAGGAAGTTTGCAGTCCTGTCAGGGCACAAACAATTACATCAAGGAATGAATACTAATGTCCAAGAACATATGTTTAATGTGAAGTCAGAGGTCTCAATAATAATGGTTTCAGGAATCCAGCTGAGGCAGAAATCCCTGAGGGTTAAGACACTCAAGCTTCTTGGAGAAGGTGGAGCTTGAAGGACAGGTTAGATGTGGAGAAGGAATAGAGTGCATGAGGCTAGTGTAGGGAGTGAGGCAAGAACAGTCAGTGAGGGACATCTTTGTCGAAAAATGAGGGACCTGGTTCCCTGGAGAACAGGACAGGAGACAGCAGTCATTGGCTGAATCAATTTATTTTTTTTAATAGTTTTTTTTTTTTTGAGAGAGAGAGAGAGAGAGACAGAGCATAAGCAGGAGAGGGACAGAAAGAGAGTGAGACCCAGAATCAAGAGCTGTCTCCAGGCTCCGAGCTATCAGCACAGAGCCCGACTTGGGGCTGCAACCCAGGAACTGTGAGATCATGACCTGAGCCCAAGTCAGACGCTCAACTGACTGAGCCACCCAGGTGCCTCTGGCTGAAGCAATTTCTGATTCAGTCAAAGTGTAAAGTAGGATTACTCCCAGATTAACAGACACTCTGTGCTGTGAACATCCCCAGAAGAGCATGAGAGGGATATAACAAACTATCTGACAGCCAGGATGTGCCAACTGAATATGGAGTCTTGTGGGATCGGGATTTCATTCAGGGGAGGCTACAGTATCTGCACACCTGCCCCATCTCCTTGTGTCTCTCTGCAGAGTAGGGGCCAGTGTAAGAGAGAACTTACAAGAGTCCATTGCTCTGGCCCCTGCAAGCTCAGCTCGTATCCTTTCTTTCTCTTGTTCTCCCCATCTTCCCCTCTTCCCTTTCTTGCTCACGGCCAGATGTCTGGGAGAAACCCTCTCTCACTGTGAGTTTTCGTTGGAATGTCAATCTGTGACCTTTGCCTTTTTAGAGCGAATGTGTGCATGCACGATTAGTAGTGAGTGTAAATATGGGAACTCTACCTATGCTCACCTGGCCTGAGAGTCCCAAGTCTCCAAACCTGGCCCTAATACCTTTTCTCTCTATGAACTTGGGCTGGCACATAAACTGCACGTTCTTCAGTTCCATAAAATGGAGATGCTAATGCCTCCCTACCTACCTTGCAGAATTTTCTTGAGGTTCAAATGAAATTATGGTTGTGAAAGCACTTTGGAGACTAACAAACTAATTATTAGCTCAAGGTGAAGATTGCATGGGGGCTAAGGGTGGTCACGTTGAGAAGTCTCATTAAATCCCATCCAGCCCTACAATTTAATAAAGCTGTTTTGTGTCATTAAAATAAGTTTAATTGTATAGTTTCCTCTGTGTTGTTTTAGTGGCTGTCACTCAGATGATGTTTTTTCCTCCCTAGATATCCCTGAGTACAGAACCCAGCCCCCCTCTACAAGATCCTGCTCATCTCGCCTGGTCTCCTCATCAGTGGGCAGGGCTGCCAGCCACCGAAGCAGCAAAGAAAATCCTTACACAGCATCTCCAGAGGCACTCTGGGCTTCAGGCAGTACCCAGCCAGGCTCAGATCTGAAGTCAATTTAAACATGTGAAAGGATTTTGAATGAAATGACAAGGTGCTCTTGGAGAGTTGGATGTTACTTGGCTCATCTATTAGAAATTTTCCACTTAGGCACCTTCTTGGGATAGTGAGTTCTATAGTATTTCAGTAAAAAGTATTCATGGCATAAGTGCTGACATATTTACAAACTTAGATACAAGTGTGATGATAGATACCATGGGGTTGATAAAGGGCCACAGGCTAGCAGGGATGGTGATAGTGGGTGTATGGGGTAGGGTCCCAGAAGGATACAGACAGCACACTCCCCAGGCTACTTGAGCAGTTTCATGAAGGGGCTGTTCACCATGGGGTCTAGTTGGCTAGGGCTGCCATAACAAAGTACCACTGTCTTCATCTGTTCCAGCTGCTGGAACAAAAATACCATGTTTGGTATTTGGATTTGTCTCTCAGTTCTGGAGGTTCAGAACTCTAAGATCAAGATGTCAGCAGAGGTGGCTTCTTCTCAGGCCTCTCTCCTTGGCTTGTGTGTGGCCACCTTCTCCTTGTGTCTTCATATGGTCCTCTTTCTGGGCAGGTCTGGGTCATAATCGCCTCTTACTTTGAAGACTCAAGTCAGATTAGATTAGGGCCACCCATATGACTTCATTTAGCTTAAGTTACCACTTTGAAGACCCTATCTCAAAAGACAGTCACATTCTGAGGTCCTGGGGGTTAGGACTTTAATATAGGAATTTGGGGGAAGGTACTGAGGGGGGGCAGGAAGCTCATAACAACACTGCAAGAAGGGTTAAGAGAATCAATATGAGACGATGAAGTACCTAGGAACTGGCAACAGTGGAAGCCTTTGTCATCCTGTGGCTTGAAGAGGCAAAAGGGGAAGGGCCTATTGTTCTAGAACCCGGGAAGAGCTGTAGCCACAGGAGAGGAGCCACTTACCAGGCTGTATTCTGTATGGTGCAGGAACACAGCCACTGCAGAAACCAAGGCCTAGTGGGGAAGGAAGAGGGAGAAGACCCAGCCCCTCTCACTCCTTGCCCCTTGACACTCCGACGGTGCTTGCCTTTGGTCAAACCCATCTGGAAGTCAGAGAACAAAGAAGCCTGGGAAGAAATGTGGCCAGGAGTGGGTGGAAGGGGTATTATATGAGTAGGACAGTGAGGAATAACCAGCACAATGGGGGAAATGTATACATTTCCCAAGAAGGAATTATAATTGATAGTCAAGCAACCATAAATGGGCATTAAAGAGTAATTTGGAAACAGAAAATGTTACTTGGCTGCAAAATGTTACTTAGCTGCGAAAGTATTAGTCATACTAAACTCAACCACCTACTCATGTAACCATTTCAAGGTCCCGTAAGTTACCATTCTAGGATACTTATTTACCTAAGTAAAGCAGAATGATAAGAAAACAACTGTTTGTCAATCGTTCAATGCTGAACACGTTATGTTCTTATGTTACATACTGTAACCTGTACATACATACACATTTTTGAATGGTTCAAACTGTTGCTCTGGAAGAATGGCCCAGGACACAGTGGTTTGGATGCCCAAATGATTGGTGTAGGACAAAACATGACTAACTTACAGTTGATTAACTTGCACTCAAGGTGACACAGGACTTTGAGGCAGAGAAGAAAGAAAACACACCCAGGATGAGACCTTGTGTTCTTCCCGTGGGCAAAGCAGCAGGTTAAGATTTCTTCTTCCTAAAGGCTGAGCCTGGGCTGAGCCCAGGAGTCAGGGGCAGCTGTGTAGCTGGGATGTCCTACAGCTTTTGCCCCACTAACCCCCCTGGATTCTCTCAGGATCCAGTCACACTGTGGGCATATGTTTCAATGGACCAGTCTGGAGTATGTCCCCAGTGTCTTCTGAAATAAACCAGAATCCTCTGAAGCAAAGACCTATCAAGAGAAGAAGGGCTTATCTAGCACAAGTGGCTTTATCTTGTCTTAAGCTATATTTGAGTCACTTATTCCTATAAAACAAGCCACCCCCAAACTTAGTTGTTTACAACAAAAGTCTTATTCCCTTCATAAATCGGCAGCTTGGGAGGGTTCTGGGGAAGAATGTCTTTGATCCAGACAACAGTCTTTGGTCCTCCCAGCAGAAGGATGGAAGATCCAGTTCCAGGATGGTGTAGGGACACAGCTGGGAAATGCATGCTAGGCTTCCACTGGGCACTAGGCCAGGGCTGAGGGCATGAGCCCTTCTTCCTCTTCATTAGGGCTGGGATTACCTAGCATGGGGGCTGGGTTCTAAGGATGAGCATCCCGAGGGACAGGTGGACTCTGAATCACTTCTTTTGTCCTAGGCTTGGAAGCATCATAGTGTCATTCTGTTGTCCCTTGGTGACCACAGAGGCTTGTCCAGTTTCAAACAGAATGGGAATAAACTTGGGAGAGTTGTAAGGTTCTGGAAGAACATGTGGGATGAGAAATAGAATTGTGACCATCTTGAACAGACTGTCTACCTCCGGGTGATGTTTCCCTGTGTGCCCCTTACTCATCATTGGTCACAGCACAGCTATATGAACTAAGTACATCCCTGGAATTAGTCTGCTTGGGCTGCATAACAAAATACCACAGACTGAGTGGCTTACATAGCAGACATTTATTTTCTCACAGTTCTGGAGGCTAGAAGTCCAACATCAAGGTGTTGACGTGTTTGGGGTCAGTTGAGACCTCTCTCTTTGGGTTGCCTTTTCTTTGTGTGCTCACATGGCCTTTCCTTGGTACTCGTGGGGAGGGAGAGAGAGAGAGAGCATGAAAGAGAGAGGGTAGGAGGGAGGGAGAGAGATTTCCCTGGTGTCTCTTCTAAGGACACTAATCCTATCAGATCAGGACCCCACTCTTATGGCCTAATTTAATCCTAATACTTCTTTAGTGGCCTGATCTCCAAATACAGTCAGTCTAGGGGTTAAGACTACAACATATGAATTTGCATGGGGACGTAAGCATTCGGTCCATGACATCCCCCATAGCTATATGAATTAGATGACAATTGATAAAGATAAATTTATTGATATACATTAATTCAAGAAAACTATATTGAATACCTACCTTATGCCAGGCTCTCTGCTAGGCTCTAGGTATAAAGGAGAAAAAACCTTCCTACCTTTAACGGGTTTATAACTGGGGGAAAGACAAAGAGAGTGGTAGCTACAAGGAGTGTAGGCTGTGACAACTCTGGGAAGAGACAAACTGCTCCTTGTGGAGCTGCACAAGTGATGTCCACGCAGAAATGGAGGATGAGTAGTACTGAGCAGTAAATGGGAGGTGGGTCAAACAAGGGGAAGCATTGGAGAGAAAGGAATAAGCCATGCAGAGACCCAAGGTAAAACTAGGGTGACCGCCATTCTGGTTTGCCCAGCCCTGTAGTGCCTGGTCTTTGCACTGAAGTCTCACATCAGTCACTGTGCCTTATCCTTGGCACTGTCAATAGTTCAGTACAGCTGGCACACAGAGGGGGTGCAGTGGCGGCAGGGTTGGTGAGAGAGAAAGCTGAAAAAGTAGGCAGAGTCCTACAGGAACCAAGCCATGCTAAGGAATGAAGACTTTATCTTAAAAGAAGTTGAGCAATCAAGAAGTGATCTTCCATAGGAGAGTGACTGGTTCAGACATGGATGGAGGAAGAGCTCTATCTGCTGGTTAATTAAGAAGAGGGACAATTCGGGGCGCCTGGGTGGCTTAGTCGGTTAAGCGTCCGACTTTCGCTTAGGTCATGATCTCTCGTTCGTGGGTTCGAGCCCCGCGTCGGGCTCTGTGCTGACTGCCAGCTCAGAGCCTGGAGCCTGTTTCAGTCTGTGACTCCCTCTCTCTCTGACCCTCCCCTGCTCACGCTCTCTCTCTCTCTCCTAGAAATAAATAAAACATTAAAAAAAAAAAAAAAGAAGAAGAGGGACAATTCTAGGGGTGCCTGTGTGGCTCAGCCAGTTAAGCATCTGACTCTAGATTTCAGGTGATGATCTCATGGTGCATGGGATCGAACCCTGCATTGGGCTCTGTGCTGACAGCATGAAGCCTACTTGGGATTCTCTGTTTCCCTACCTCCCTCTGCCCCTACCCTGCTTGCACACAAGTGCTTGTTTCTTTCTCTCTCTTAATATAAAACACATAAACTTTTTTTTAAGGGACAATTCTGAAAGTCAGTGAGGAAGCCATTGTGGATTTCCAGGGACAAGATAAGGGTGACTTAAAATAATGCAGGGGGTGGAGAGAACCCTAGGATTTAGAGTATCTTGAGGAGAAGTAACAGAACTTAGAAAGACAGGTAAGGGGGGTGAGAGACAGGAGAATTCAAGGATGACTTCTGGATTTCTGGCTTGGGCAACTGGAAATGGTTTAGGAATACCTTCCCCACCCCATCCCACATGAGAATACCAACAAAGCAACTATTCTGCTTCCCATACAGCTCTTGTTGACCTGAAAATTCTGTTATTGCACCACTGACCTAGAAGTCTCAGCCATAGCCATTAGACTTACAGGAACAGGAGAAGGCTGGGGGCCAGAGGGGGAAGAAGATGGGCATTGATTACATGCAGTACTTCCTAAATGGTTTATGTACTCTATTTAATTTTCACAAGAATCTTTGGAGGTAGGCAGGCTGTTACCCTCATTTCATAGCATCAGAATTGGGGACAAGGTGATGTGCTGCACGTGGCCACAGCTACAGTCAGCAGAGCTGGGCTTTAAACCCAAATATGTGGGGCACCTGGGTGTCTCAGTTGGTTAAGCATCCAACTTCAGCTCAGGTGATGATCTCACGGTTTATGGATTCGAGCCCCGCGTTGGGATCTGTGCTGACAGCCAGCTTAGAGCCTGGAGCCTGTCTTTGGATTCTGTGTCTCCTTCTCTCTCTGACCCTCCCCTGCTCATGCTGTCTCTATCTCTCTCTCAAAAATAAATAAAACATTAAAAATAATTTAAACCATAAAGAATTGTTGGGTTTTTGTTTTTGTTTTTGTTTTTTTTTTACACTATGCTGCTTCCCTAATGAACACTAGTTTCTACTTGGTTGGGTATTTTGTCACATCTACTGCCATGCCTTGACTCTATTTTCATTCAGCATTGAAGAAGGAGGAAGACCAAGGGAAGGACTCTACCCACTCTAAGAGGCCAGCTGGAGGTTGCTTCCGGGAACAAGGATTGTGAAAGAGCCTCTTAATCCTTTGTAACCAGTCCCCATACTTGCTGTACGTGCAAAACCCCTAAAGCCAGAGGACCTATGTAATTATGTTTGTGAGCATCAGGGCCAAGGGAAGCTATGAGACAGTGTCCCAGTCAACAGCCAGTTTAGGGAAAGAGGAAGTGTCAGGAGATGAAATTCAAGAGATAGGGAGCTAGGGGAAGGATGTAAAAGGGAAAAAAGAGACACTGGATGAGTTCCCAGGGCCTCCGTCCAAAAGATAGGTGAGTCTATCTGAACCTTGCAAAGAGCTCTGGAAACGTAATAGCTGGACCCCTGTGGCCCCTAATGGAGGCTGCCTTCCAGCTCAGGGACACCCTGCACCTGGAGTCTTAATCTCTAGTGCCAATCCCAGCTCCTTCTCAACTGGCCAGGTTTACATTTTGATACGAATTTTGGCTTGTCTCCTATGAAGTATTGATCTTTCTGTATTCACAGAGTAATCTATCCATTTTGCTTCTAGTCTTCTATTGTTATTTCGGCAATATTTTACTCTCTCCACCTCCCACCCACCTTCTAAACTTTTGTTAGTGTTTATTTTATTTTTGAGAGAGACATACACAGAATCCCAAGCAGGCTCTAGGCTCTGAGCTGTCAGTACACAGCCCAACTGGAGCTTGAACCCTCGAAGTGTGGGATCATGATCTGAGCCAAAGTCAGAAGCTTAACCAGGTGAGCCACCCAGACACACCCCCACCTGCCTTCTAGATTGGGAATTCTTGAAAGGATACCACTTTCACTTGCTCTGTATTTCCACATTTTCTTTTATGCAGTAGGCGCATGACTGGAGTTTGACTTGTCATTGGAGTCTCATCAGAAGGTCTGAAACGGTCTCTCAGCGGACTTCCTTATCCACTGATACCTGCAGAGAAAGGGCACAAGAGGGCGCTCCTTCCCCTCTTATCTCAGTCCAGGGAGCTGCACCCTTTCTGCACGTTTAGGTCTCTTGAAAAAGCAGACATGACTGACATGGGTGAAAACATATTTTTACTACTATTGGGGAGAGGTTTAGGGCAATTTTGAATATTTATACAGGCATCTTTAGGGAAATATGTATTCAGCTCAGGTTTTTTATTTCATTTGACTCAAATACCCAAAAAGTCCGTTTTTAAGAACTTTGAGGAAGAAACATATTTTATTTTATTTTATTTTATTTTATTCTATTTATTTATTTTTAATTTTTTAAACATTTTAATTTATTTTTGAGAGACAGAGTGTGAGCAGGGAA